GTTTAACTATAACTCATTTCAAAACCATGATAAAATGTTTTAAAAAATAGATATTTGTTAAATTTTATTTATGAAATAATTAATTATAAATATATTTTATAAATTAAACATAAGGTCACAATTCTATATAATTTGGTTACAAAATATCGAATTAATTGGTTACAAATAATTTTCCAATCACAATTAAACTTTTTATAAGTCACAAATTTATCAAATTAATAGGTAACATATTATTCATTGGTCACAAATCACAAATTTTATAAATCACAACATATTTCATTGTTACAAACTATTTCACGATCACAAATCAAAAATTTTATGTGTCATGATTTATTCATCGGTCACAAATCATAAAATTTATAAGTCACAATTTATTTATCGGTCACAAATCACAAAATTTATAAGTTACAACTCAAGTTTTTAGGTCACATGTTATTTAATAGTCACATATTATCGATCACATTTTTTATTGGTCACAATCTCAATACTTGGTCACAAACACTATTAACCCCACCACCTAGCTCACCCAATCCCAATCCCAATCCACCATGCCACCAACCAAAAGTAATGCAACCTCGCCACCACCATTACCACCAAACCACCATTTTCAACTTCAAAATCACCACCAACGAACCACCATTTTCAACTACAAAGCCACCATCGCCATTGTCAGATCCACTGCCAATCTAACAAAAATCACCTCAATTTCTAATTCGCCACCACCATCACCACTACCAACAAATCCAAGAAAACCACTTTGTCGCTGCCGCCGTCGCCACCAACAAACGACCACAACCACGCCACCAACATAAAATAGCAACCAAACTTGAGAAGATGAACTGCTTGGAATCACTTTTCCGATTGACTATCATCACGGCGCCTCCACTAACTGGGCATCACAATCATGGCACCACCTCTACCTCAACGCCACCAACACCAACACAAAAACAACAGTCAAACCTAATTTCCAGTGAGCCTGAAAAGGCACACTGCCTAGAACCACTCCGCCGATATCACCATCACCACGATGCCATCATCAACACCAACCATAATATCCCTAAATCAAAGCCACTAGATCTGCAGCAAATAGAGATGGTGATGTGATCCAATGTACGGATGCAACGAAGGTGAGCCCAGGGAACGATCCGTTGATCATCAAAGGACGATCAATAACTCGATCAAGGGCAAAGCAGGTCAAGGAAGCGATGGGGTTGCTGACTCAAGCTACGGCGGATGAGACATTTATCGGGGCAAGCCAAACGTCAATTTCCATGTTGGGCTTGAGGGCGAAAGTCCAATTAATCACGTTGATTGATGCAGAAAACAAAGAGGCTGAAATTATAACTATGCGACCACATTGTTTTTTCAGCTATGAGGTCGCATGGTTCAAACGGAAGGAGAAAATTTCTTTTTCTCAAATTTTCCTTATTTTACTAGAATTCTATTTTTATTGCAATCTTTTGTAATACTAGCAAGTTATTTTCGGTTCTACTAGGTTTTTAGGCTTTTCCTATAAATATTG